ACCTCCTGACTCTCTAGGTAATAATGAATGATTACTTTTTTAATTTAGTGGGGGAATAATAATCCACACAGTCAGATAAACACAAATAAAAAAAAATTAAAAAAAATTGCCATCAGAGCCAGTGGTCCAATGCTGAGCGAGGGCCACTGCAGACGGGCTGTGGTTAGACCTGGCTGCCGTTACCCTCTTAGCTCCGCTGGTTGCCGCGGTCCTCTCAACTTGGGATTTTTTTTTAATTATTATTACGTTATATCAGTAAATGGGCCATATAGTGCATTTTAGAAGTTTAATTTCCTCGACTTAAATTATCTTAAAATGTACTTTTATTGAACAACAGCAACAGAAAAGAGAACTTTTAACTTAATCTGCTCTGTGAGTGTCCATTAAAAGCTGCTGCTGGGACAGCTGTCAATCTGGAGAACGGACAAGTCTGCTCTGATGCATGCTGGGTAAAGAAGGAGGGGCGAGAACAATATCCCGGGACTTTGTCCCTTCTCGGCCTGCTGTTCGTGTGAATAGGAACAATACTAGGGCGGAGGATGATGACGTTTCACAAGCACATGAGAACGCACAAGTACACATTGAAAAACAGCCTATTACTACAGAACAAACATGGAGGACAGCATAGACAGAGGTGTGCAGCGGAGGGACAATGGAACGTTGGACTTAAGTATTTTTTGGGTGAATCCAACAATCAGAAAGAAACTTGAGGGATCATATGGTAACAGGTGAAATAACTACGACGCTGCACCACACATTTCTCCAACCGCTCCTCCAAAAAGAATAGTTAATAGTTTAGCTCTCTTTGTCCTCTGTCTCCTTTTCTGCATCATCTGCTGTATCATCCGCCTACCTGCACTGCTGAACAACATCGACATGTTATTGGTTTCTGTGGCTCACTTCAGGGAAACAGTTTGAGAATAAAATCATAGTTGAGAGCTAAGACCTGCAGATTGAGCCCAGCCTTTGGAGCACTTTGGTGAATAAGAAATTGCTCAGCATATCACTGGACCAGGCCTTTTTTTTTAACCACTCCACACTATGAAATAAGGGATAAAAGTATGCATCGTTCATACTTATATGGTATAAGGTCAATATCTGCGTCCGTCAAAACTCAATGGTGCAATCCCAGGATTTTAAATAAAAAGTAGTATCAAGATATGCCTCGTTTCTATGTTAGTATTTAGAAGGTCTGACATCTAGAAACGGAAACCATTACAACTAATAGGATGAATGGTAGTCCACTAATTGTGCTGAACTGGTAACAGGTTAGGTAACCATACTAGGATTCTGGAAAGACAGGCTAACTCGGAAATCCCACATCCTCCGTATCCGCCCGCTCTGCTCCAGACCGCCTGCCCAAATCAAAGCCTGTTCCTCCCGTGTTGCTCCACCCCGACTTCCTCTGAGCTCCAGAAGAGCATGCGTGATATTATTGTTAAATTCATATTTTTTCTAAAATATATAACAATTATGCTCTAATTTGTGGTTCCCGATCTGTTGTTACTATATTTTAATTTGACAAACCGGATCACCTCGCTGTTCATTTTCCTGTTTGCTGCGATTGCAAAAGCGGATCTTGACCTGACCGGACCGGAGCGGAGCAAAAACGGACAAAGACGACGTACATGCACAGTGACGTGCCAAGGAGTAACGTTGGATGTCACTGATTAACATGACAGACAAGTACTCTGCACGACGTACGTGAGCGGGGCGGGGCGGAGGATGTGGAATCTGGGGGTAAATGTTCACCGTAGGAGGCAGAAGGAATGGAAAGCTCCTATAGTTTCCTTCTACTGGTGGTAAGGACAGAAGTCTGATCTTCAGAAGGTTTGCTGGTCTTAAAAAAGGAGAAAACGTTGTTCCATAAGCAGAGCAGATCTTCCAAGGAGGTGCAAAGTACTTAAAGATGAAGTTCTGCAGACACCGTCAACAAACCTTTTTTTTTTATGTGTTGCCTGCATCATTAGGCAGATCGAACTCTAATGACTAAACTACAGAAATTCATATTAGGAAGTTATGCAAATGTAAACATTTACTACGTGCAAACTGATTTTCCAAACCAGAAACTTAACTGCAGCTTTTTTGGTTCTACACAAAGTCAGCCGGAAAATGTCAACATATTTGGACCATCAGAAATAACAACAGCAGAATTTTAATAGAGAAAAAAGAACAGGGAAAAACAACTTTTTCAGCTTTTGTATTTCATCATTATTATTATTTGATAATTTTATCTGTCATAACTTTCTTATGCAAACTGCTCTATATTATTGTACCTTTAATTTTTTTTATTGCACATTCAATTTAGTACCCAATCTTCTGAATTTATGAAGATCAGGCCCTAGATAAGAAATAAAAAATACTTTGCCTGCTTTGTGGTGAAGAAGCAGAGCTGTCAGAGTGATGCAGTTAGTCCCAACCTATTAGATAAATGCCAATAGTGCATTAAAAGCTAACTTTAAAAGCACTTATAAAGTGCAAACAAACCACGTTCCCTGTTGTGGTTAAACTATCACTACCTGCAGCCGCAGATATATAAGCAACAAAATCAG